AAATCTAATTGCTTTAACACTTTCAATATGACTTTCCCAACGTGTTTGTGATAATGGCTTAAGTGTCAAATTAGAAACATGATCTTGCAAAAAATTTTATATTTTTGTAGAAGAAGAAAATAATGAATATATGCGTTGTGTCACTTCAAAAAATATCATAGCACTAGCATATGAATTAGCCATATCACAAAGAACTAAATTAAGATTGTGACGACCACATGGTGTATAAAAAGCTCTATAGTTTATATCTAATAATCTTTTTTGTACACCTTGATGTTTACCTTTCATATTAGACCCATTATCATATCCTTGCCCTCTCACATCATTTATGTCAAGTTCAAGAGTTTGTATCTTACTTGTAAGTTTATTAAAAAGACCTTCTCCGGAGGTATCATCAACTTTTAAAAAATATATAAAATACTCTTTTATTTTTATTGAAATTGTCAAAATATGTACACATCTTAATATAAGAGACATCCGTTCTTGATGACTTGCATCCGGAGTACAATCAAGTATAACTGAAAAATATTTTGATTCTTTGATTTTTCTAATAATGGTATTTTTTATTTCTAATGCTAAAATATTTATCAACTCATTTTGTATATTATGACCAAGATAATGCATATGAATATCTCCATTTTGAATACGTCTAAGGTGTTCTTGCATTATTTGATCAAACTCAACAATCATTTCAATTAAACTCAAAAAATTTTCATTATTGTCCTAATAAATCTTCTCATTTGTACCACGAAATGCCAAATTATTTTTTGAAAGAGCTTTTACAATAGCAATAATTCTTAATAATACATTCCTCCAATGCTCTTTCTCTTTATTTATTTTCTCTCGTAAATGCTTATCAATTGTTTTGTTTTTAAGCAATCTCATCTAAGCATCAACCCAAATGTTCATATTAATAGCATGTTCATTACTTGTCTCATGACTTTTAAGTTTGGCACTAAGATTTTTTCAATCTCCACACCCCTTCATTTGCTAATTGAATATTTAATTTCAAACTAAATAATTTACAACAATAACAAAACACTTTATCTAAATTTTTTGAATATACTAGCCATTTTCTATTATGTTTTTCTCCGTTTGGTAATTTTCGAATGTAATGAACTCGTAAAAATCGTCTAGAATTTTTATCTCTTGAAAGATCTAAAATTTCTCTAATTGGGCCTTTCTCAACTAATAAATCAATCAGTTTTGAGTCTAAATTTTTCCATTGTGTTGGATCGTAAATATTTTTAATTATTGTTGCATCTTCATCATTAATATTTTCACTTTTATTGATTGAAACATCATCTTTTAAATTTTCATCATATTTTTCATCACTTTTTGGTGAATTTGAATTGTTATCTTCAAATTTTTCTTCATAATTTTCAACTATATTTTCATTTAAATCTTTGTCTTGTTCTTCTAGTATTTGGGGTTTAATATTAGTAACAAATCTATCAAGTGCACTTTTTTGGGATTGAATTAGTTCTTCTTTCTTTTTTTTTTCTTACGTTTTTCATATCTAGATTCATACTTTCTAGTAGACATTTTATTCAAATAATAAAATTAAAATATAATTATAAAAAGAGTAAGAAACTTTGGCACTCGATTATATTTGCTTGCCACACCTAATCAAGGAAATCTAGAGAGAATCACACGAGAAAATAAAAAAAAATTTGAGAAAAAAATAAAATATTATATGATTTATATACATAATTTTATTTACATAAATTAAAAAATTACCTTCAGATTCTTCTACCAAGCTAATTAGAAAAGATTTTATAAGAGATCCACGATTGTTTGAAGAAAGAAATGAATATAATAACAAAATTTGAAGATCTAAAAATTATTTCACTCACAATTATTTTTTAAAAACTTTTACGTAAGTAAAAGTGTCTCACTAAAATAAAAATCAAAAGCTTTTATAAGTAGGAAGTTATTGGAAAGACATCTAGAAAAGGTAGAATTTTTAACGTTGAAATAATAATATTTACGAACAATGAGAGCCTTTCAATGTAGGAACTCTAGTACCTATGACTTGTTAATAGAGAGAAGACTGGTGTCTCATACTTAGGTAGAGGTTGCACCTTTTAATTTATCTCATTCTTCACGGGTGTAGGTTTAGGGTAAAATTTTAATTGGGGCCCCCTTTCTATGGAGGCCCTAGGTATAGGCTTTAATAGCCTATGCCTCGAGCCAGCATCGGTTGGGAAATTGTTTGGATTTCAACAGTTTTAAGTCCCTTGCCTCTTTAAATCTAAAGAGTATGGATTTGAGTGAACACTTGAAAAAAGTACTTTCTAGTTACGGTTCCCTTAGGTATTTGGCCTTTTATATATATTGCATTTTTCCTCCTTAATTGTCGCAAGTTCATCTCTCCAGCAATTAACTCGTTTGCCTTTAACAAAATGTATGTTTTAACCGAAATTCAACTTATGTTGTACGGTGTATCTAACGACTCATTTATATACATGAGGCATGTGTGTTGCCGACTAAGCTAATTGAAATAAAACTAATTTGCTAACCGAAAAACACTTGCTATAACTTCTTAAATAATATAACTAACTACCTATATAAAATACATTACATTATACAATAGCTATACGAGTAGCTTATACTCTAGTAATAACCCCTCCTCAAGTTGGAACATACACATTGTAAATGCCTAATTGGAAATGAAGTTGTGAAAGAGAGACACGATAAGCGGTTTGGTAAAGCAATCTATGAAGTTGGTTCATGGAGGAAATAGGGAGAAGCTTGAGAATACCTTTCTAGAGCTTCGGTGCACAATATGGCAATCAAGTTTAATATGTTTGGTACGTTCATAAAAGATAGGATTGGTAGCAATGTGCAAGGTGGATCGATTATCATAGAAGAGGAGAGCAAATGTAGGATGAGGAATTCGCATAAAAGGTCTAGCCTTAGATTTTGATTTCATTAGGAATATCCATGTACATCTACTAAAGTCATCAATGACTGTGAGAAAATAGTGATGACCAAATACAATAGGTACGGAGAATGGACCCCATATGTCTATATGCACAAGCTCAAAACATGAAGATGAAAAGGAGTTACCGATAGGGAAAACAAGACGTTTTTGTTCAACTAAGTGACATGATTCATAAGGAGACACATTGCCACTTACAATAGCTGGGTCTAAAGAATGAAGGACTTTAATTCTAGGTTCGAAGCATGTCCTCACTTATTGTGCCATGGTATGGTAGAAACCTTGGAAAACCGGCTCGTAGTACATGAAGCTCGAGATAGGTTATGGACATAGAGGAACTCCGGAATCCAAGAGGTGATAAAGCCTTTAATATTGTTTAGCTATACCAATCATCTTCAAGCTTCTTAGGTCCCGAATGAAACCAAAATCGGGGTGGAAAGTTAGGGAACAATAGGGTTTGAAAGTCAATTTTGTTACCGAGATTAAATTGTAAGAAAATGAAGGTGCAAATAAGACATTGAACGTAACTAGAGTAGGTGAAAGTTGGACAATACCAATATGGGTAATGAGAGCATGTTGATCTGGTTAGTAGTTTGACAATCATATGAGAGATAGGTTGATATTGGCAAAAAAACTTAAAGCGTACACTATATAATCTATGGCTCCCGTGTCTAATATCCAACTAGGTGTTTGATTAGCAGAGTTAGTATGACAGGAAGAAACCAATTTACTCGACATGTCACAAGCTAAAGAAAATTGAGTTTCAAAGGAATTTACTTGAATGGGAGAGCTAATATTATCCGGCTAAATTAATGCGAGTAGTTTGGTATACCGATCTATCGTAAAGGGCATAAGAAAGGACGAAGAAGCATGAGTATAGAGACTTGAAGCGAGTGGAATTGCCAGCTGAATTAGAATTGTCAATACGGGGACTCGACTTAGATGCCTCCGTAGATAGACTTGCGACATGCACACGATTCATAGCATCACCTTTATGAAAATCATTATTGGCACCAAGCATAAACTCCGGGAGCCTTGGACTTCAACCTATAGCCAGGTGGGAATCCATGTTTTTTGTAATAGGTATCAACCTTATGTCCCGATAAACCAAAGTGAGAGTAGATAGGCTTATTGTTAAATCTAGCCTAAAATCCTTGAAACCTTCTTTGTGGATAGGGTGTAGATACTCCTTTACTTATGAAGGCGATGGGTGCAACTCCAGATTGTGATTTGGACGTGTAGGTTTCAACATTCGGTTGTCTTTCTTGTTGCGATACAAGTGAAAATACCTTGTTGATTTACGGCAATGGTTCTATAAGCATAATCCGACATTTAACGAGTAGAGTAATTTTTATTCAACCCCTTCAAAAACCGAATCACATAATCATTCATCTAATATCTTTTCACAATGTTAAGTGCTTCGCAGGTGCAACGAGGATCACATGAACAGATGGGCACTAGTCTCGAATTTATTAACTCTTCCCAAAGGATCTTAAATTGAGTATAATATTGTGTAACGATCTCTATTCCTTGATGAAATGATGAGATTTCATCTTGCGGAATCTCGAAAGAATCTCCGTGAGAAAATCTTTCCTTTAAATCATCCCAAACTTCAATCGTTGTATCCAACCGGAGAACACCGTGCACAATCGAGCGAGACACTAAGTTGATTATCCATGAGAGCACCATCGTGTTACACCTTTCCCAACTAGTATATAGAGGATCCGTCTTTGCGAGTACTCGGAATGGATCCATCGATGAATTTGTGCTTGTTTTTAGATAATAAAGCCATTTTCATGGATCTTGACCATGAGTGGTAATTCGAATCATGTGAGCGAGAGAGGATACTAAAACTAACGAGGGATGTTCACTGTTGTGCAAAAAGAATGGATTTGAAGATTGATCTTCGGATCCGGAGAAAACGAATTGATCCTCTCGCCATTGCTTTGTTTAATGAGAATCAAAAAGTTGAGTAATAGGAAACAAGCCTTCTTGTTTGTTTCTTGAGAAAAAGAAGCAAAATTTTTTTGAAACAAAGAGAGAGAAAGAGAAAATAATGGTTTGCTCGATATCATAACAAAATGTATGTTTAACTAAAATTCAACTTATGTTGTACGGTGTGTCTAACGGCTCTTTTATATACATGAGGCACGTTTGTTGCCGACTAGGCTAACTGAAAAACACCTGCTATAACTTCTTAACTAATATAACTAACTACCTATACAAAATACATTACATTATACGGTAGCTATACAGTAGCTTATACTCTAGTAATAGCCTTTGTACTGCCTTGGAGGAGGTTGGTTGTGTACCACGAATCTTGTGTCACTTGAAATGAGAAGAACTTTGTTCAAGTTCAGGTTCAGGCAAGTTCCACAATGTGTAAGTTTAGTGGTTAGAACCTTAGAGGTTCACGAATTAAGTGGAATGAAGTATGCATTTGGCAGTTGGCACGCTAGCTCATGATTTTCCCTTTCTTCAAACTCTTCATTTGACTTCACCGTCGTTCGAGGTTAGTTACATTTTTTTCTGTGCTAGTGATGTGCTATCTTTAGTAGTGCTCTGCTAGTTCAGATATTGTTTTCCAGTACTTGGGACCTTGATGGTTTTGCAGGCAGTAGATATCCTGCCTGAGAAGCTGCCAGCATTTACTAATATGAGAAAATTGGCTGTGGCATCGGCAAAAGGAAGATTAGAAAGTCTAGTGCCATTCACTATTCTTCTAAAGGCTGCACCTTTTTTGACAGAAGTTTGAACTGCAAGTAAGTGCTAATTACTAATAAGAGCATAGTTAATCAACAACAGCATTTTCCTGGGTTTAGTAATTATCAGGAAAGGATTGTTTATTTGTGTTTGCAATTCAAAGTATAAGCCAAACATTCTTTTCCCAAATTTTCCATAAATTGAATGCAATGAAGTATTTCAATGAGTGTTTTTTTCTTCTTCGTACATTAATGGTTTTGCCCTGCAGTTTGGCTTTAGTGATTGTGAAATTGGACCAGCAATGAGTAAAGCCACATGTTCCAGCTACCCGCGTAGACATCTTAAGGAAGTGAAGATGTCTGGATTCTATGGTCATGCTATTACTATAGAACTCGATGTTGCTGTATGCTTGCTAAGAACTGCCTTTTTTCTTGAGAAGATGGAACTTAATACCAAACAAAAGTACTATGTTGGGGATGGTAATACGATCAGGGAAGGGAAGTGACCTTCGTCCCAGAAATATCCAACAATGCTGCGCAAAAGAGCTCTTCATGCAATCATACCCCCTCTCCGTCTATTTATTTTGCAATACTTTTCATGGGATATATGAAATTGCCTCTGTTTCTACTATGGCATGATCGATCCGGAAAAACTGGTTTTTTTTTTTTCAAACAATGGCATCTTTGTGTTTTTATTATGTGGTACGCTGGCTGTTCAAGGTATGCTGTTAAGTTTGTAAAAGCTGGAAATTGATGGCAGCCAACCGGTTGATGAAATTTACCCTGCAGATTCTTTGTTGTACTTCTTATACTAGGTACAGGCACCAAATCACAATACATTGGCCTTTTGCGTTCTGATCCAACAGACATTACTACAAATGTTCGATGAATTACAACTTCATATCAGCAAACTGTGCAGAAAATATGCCAGGCACATGTTTCCGTGTTTAAAATTCCAAAGCAGTTTGTCCTAACATGAATTAAAGATAACCTTTTTCTTTGCAGCTTTGAATTGCTCCATCAAACATTTCATCAAGCCCGTACGTAAATTTGAAACCCAAATTCAGTAGTTTCTTTGACGAGATACCAGGGATTCTATAGCCTATAATATCCTTCAAAGATCTGCCAGGAAAGGAGAATTAACATTTTGCTTTTAGTTTCAAGATTAAGTGAAGAACAAGGCAAAGGTTAAAAAACTGACTCCGATGTCGGTATTGGGAACTCAGGATACTTTGCAGACAGAAATTTAGACATGTCCTCAATGGTTATTGTTTCTGAAGAACAAATGTATCTCCCTTCAGCGTCAGGATGTTCAAAGAGGAAGATGTGTGCCCTAGCCACATCATCAACATGCACCATAGATATATTCAAAAGAGTACCGTACTGCTGCTGCTCACCTGAGATTCATTAGAAACAAAAATTTTCAGGAAATTATAGGAAAAAATGGCAACTCTAGTGTAAACTTACCCAGTACCATAGCCAGTGATGTGTGCACTGAGCCAGGAAACTTGGAACAGATGAAAGGACCATGAATAAAAGAAGGGATTATTGTCACAAGATCCAATCCATGTTCTTCTGAGAATTCGAGAGCTCTCTTCTCGGTTAATGCCTTGGAAATAAAGTAAGGACCTGCAAAGGATTTTAAGGCCTTAACATAATCTACATCAGTCCAAAAAGTCTCATCCATTATGTCCACCCCACTGCCATTAAACACTACTGCTGATGCACTGGAAGTGTACACTACTCTCTTTACGGTCTTGGAGTTCAAGCAAGCCTTCAAGATGCCCAATGTTCCATCAATTGCTCTTCTGGTGACAACTTCCTCCGGTTCTTTGTTTTCAAAATCGACAGGGGTAGCTACATGAAACACTCCAACGCATCCTTTAATAGCCTCATCAAAGCTGTCTGGGTCACTTAGATCTGCCTGGAAAATTTGAAGCTTCTCGGATGCTCCTGGTAGACTTGTTAGGAAGCTAACATCTCTCTTGCGCTCTAGCCACATATCAAAATGATGAAAAGATTGAGAATTTTCTTTAAATGATCTAGGTGGGATGAAATCGTATACTGAATAATAAGAGTTGAAAGTTGAAAAACAATCCGTGATTGCAAATTTGCGCCTTTAATTTACATAAAAAATCATACATAAAAATCGTCCCGAATGATAAAATCAGTCTTTGTGTTGGTGATCAGACTCACAAGACATGCCATCAATTTTTAGATTAATTGGCATGTAAGTAATGGAAGTGGCAGAAGAAACATGCTTCCGATTTGAATATTTATGTATCTAATTGCTAAATATGGAAACCTATGAGGATAACAGAAAATCAACTTATCTTACAGCACTAGCTGGGGCTCAATTCCCCTACTACAGGGACAGAATTGCTCTATTACAACAATTGAATATATATATATATATAGGACTCAATCTTTTATGCTTGAAAAAAATGAAGTTTTGCAAATAAACCATGTTAAAATGAATTTGTTCATGTCTGATTGATCAATTAGTTTATCCACATGCTCCCTTTCTATTTCAGCTGTCTTAACAATAAAATGAGAAACAAAAGCTCACCTGGGTCAGGTCTAATGGTGGTGTGAACAGAGTAGTCATGTTCGAGGAGCCTCATGATCAACGATGAGGCTAAGAACCCAGTACCACCTGTAACACAAACTTTGCCTTTATCTCCATCCATTTCTCTATCCCACTCTCTCAAAATGAAGATGAATCACACGAATTGTTATCTACCCTTGATATATCTAGACAGCCGGTTCACTTTTTTTGGTAGCGGATCCCCGTCAAATTTTTTTCCTTATTCTCGGTTTCTCCTTTATTGCGTAAGCGTTTAATTTATTTTTATATTTTCAAATAAAGAAATATAAAATTATATTTCTATATTTTAAATCAGTTATCAATTTATTTTTTGTAACATCTTTTTTACAAGAGTATTAAAAAGTACTAAATAGTCAATTTTATATTGAAAATACCCTTAAACTGAATAGGTATGTACAAGTCATTATCCATCACCCCTCTCTCTTCCGTAGTGGTTGAAATTTGGCAAGAACAATTATTAAACCCATTTTTTTGGTGAAACTTTAAGGGTTTGCGGTATAGGTTTGGATTTTGATAGATAAAGAGTTTTTAAGATGGTGAACAACTAAAAAATAATAGAAAAGTGATAGTTTTTATCGTGGCTGGAAGGTTGAGACTTAATTAGTCTAAAAAAAATTGAGGTTAATAGCTGTAGATGTCTCTCTATTTTTTTTCTTTTTCTTTATTATGTTCTTCTACTTTTTTTCGGTCTAAAATTTATCTCTTTATATATATATATATATATATTTTAATCTCGTCCCTTCTTTAACTCTTAGACACACGGTATTAACTTGTTTTTTTTTCCCTTAATCTCATCTTTATACTATATTTTCAGTCTTAACTTTTTTTTACTGAATTTAAATAAATAAATTTCAAAAACAAACAAAAGTTAAAAAAATATGAAGATATATTCAATCATTCTCTCTAAAAAATAAAAATAAAAATATTTTTTTACCTCACATATCTTTTATGTATTTAAATTTGTCTCTATGACGAGTAAATAAATTTTGAGTATAAAATAAAATATTTATAGTATTATTTTCTTATGTGTCTCTATGAGAGTAAGCAAATTTTGAGTAAAAAATAAATTATTTACGGTATTATTTTTTAAATATGAAGAAATTTTTAGTTAAATTTTTAAATTTTGAATGGTATTTATAATTTTATAATACATTTAAAAAGCATATTATAATTTACTTAATTTGATTTAATTTTTTTTTAAAATTTGACTCGAAATGGAAATATAAATTTTTGTTGATGTTGCACTCAATACTAACGATTTTTTTTATTTGAATAAAATTTATATTCTTAAGTTTGAGTCAAATTAAGAAATTTGTAAAATCAAAATAAGTAAGTTATAGTTGACTCTTTTGAGGTATTATAAAATTATAAATATCATTCAAAATTTTAAAAATTTAACTAAAATTATCTTCATATTTTTAAGAAAAAAATACTATAAATATTTTATTTTACACTTAAAATCTGCTCATCATCTTAGAGATAAATTTAAATCCATAAAGAATATTTTGGATAAAAAAGGATTTTTATCTTCACCTTTTTTTCAAGTTTTAGAGAAAATGATGAGATATATATTCATCTTTTTTCTAGTTTTTTTTTTCTAAAATTTTTTAAATGAAACAAAATTAAGAAAAAAAATAGAGTATAAGGATGAGATTAAGACAGAAAAGAATAAGTTAACACAATTAGTTCAAGAGTTAACAAAAGAACAAAATTAAGATAAAATCAAATGTAGATGGATGAGTTAAGACAAAAAAAGAACAAAGGGACATGATAAAGATAAAAGAAAAAGAATAAAAAGACCTTCACCAAAAAAAAAAAAGAAGAAGAAGAAGAAGGAAAGGTCGATTTTAAAGTTTAAAGACATAAATTGTCGGATTAGGGTTTTATTTTAGGTGAAATATGTAGGTTTCGATCGAAAAAATGCATACTGCAGAGTGGTAGAAAAAATGACAGCATTGGTTGTTTTAAAATGATTTTGGTTTAATTTTACAAGGAGAGGGGAAGGAGAGGCAAAACCGATGAAGGGGAAGAACATGAAAAAAGGACCCAAAAAAAAAAAAAAAAAAAAGATTTGGTTCTCGTCGAAGAGCGGGTGGTGATAGATTGATAATTTACATGTGGTCATTCGTCTAGCGTGTATTTTTTTCAAAATAAAATTTATCATGTGCAAATCACTAGAGGTGATTATTTGGTTTTTCAATTCGATTTTATTTTATTTTTTTTAATTTTTAGTTAATCGAATTAATTAAAATAAAAATCAAAATCGAATCTAATTGAGGTTCAGTTTTTTAATTAAAAAACCAAATTTTCTGATTCAGTTTTCGATTAAAAATCGATTTTTTTTTCATTTTTTCTTCTAAAAACCGAATTAATTGCTTTTTATCACCAATGTTAGTTCCCACAAACATGATTGTAGCTGATTTAGAACTACTAAAAGTTAGAGAAATAACTCTTTTTATATATACAAAAAATGAAAAAAAAATAGATAGATTATGTTTAAAATATGTATAGAATAGATAATACTATTTCTAATAATTATAACAATAATACAATTGAGTTGGGAATTTCTTGAAATTGCTAGGAAAATAAATTTAATTTTAATTTGTTATGCAAAAACAGATAAAAAATATTATGATATTTAAAACATTATACACACATACACGCATGCATCTGTGTGTTTTGAAACGCATGCCAAAGGTTAGAAAGAAAATACAAAACAATATATGAACACATGTATCTATGAGTTTTGAAATGCATGGCAGAAGTTAGAAAAAAAAAACATTAATTCAGTTTTCTATGGGAATCAATTTTTTTTAAAAAAAGAACTAAAATCGAAATAATTTTGGTTTTTGATTTTGAATTTTTTTTTCAAATTTTTTATACAAAACCGAATCGAAATTGCTACTTTGATTCGATTCGGTTTCGTTTTTCGATTTTAACTAAATAGTATTCACCCCTACAAATCATGTGATATTTTCTGATGATTTTGTCAAAAAAAATATTATCAAATAGATATAAATCCATCCAAAAGCGAGCAATATAGTTGACTTATTTGAAGATATAAAGGCATATTTATTATTATTATTATTTAGCAATTTCTCGTTACCTATTTTATTCTCTAAGATTTGGAAAATGTTCATCGATTCTTGTCTTCAATTCGAAGGAGTGAAGGTTTATGAAAGAATATAGGACTTCTAACTTCCAATAAATCAGGTAATGGCATAAATAATAAAGAAGAAGAAGATAATTATAAGGAAGTAGTCTGATAATAAGAATATGTCGACTTGTAGAATAATTTTTAAATTCGATTTTTATGATTAATATTTTTAAAAATTTGTTTTTACAATATTTAAAATTATGTATTAAGAAATGTTTTTTAGTCAGACCCAAAGAGAGATTAACCTTGAATTACATCAAAAAAAAAAAAAAAAGATCCGAATGCATTTCAGAAAAAAAAAAACAAAAAAAAAAAGTAAATGGGCACGTTATTCATAGCTCTCTGATTTAATTTGTCCTTTCTTTTTGTTTTTTTTAATGATTAAATCAGAAAGAAAAGTATTATAAACTTATAAAAAGTGGGTGGTTAACGCACTACTCGATCAGTTTATAAAAAAAAACAAAAAGGCTCTGGGATTTTGTCCTATTTTGATTGTGTATGGTAAATTTTAAGCGTGTGGCACACGTTTTACTCCATTAGTAGTTGCTTGGACTTCGTTTCTGTTTACTAAATGTATGTAATTATTTTAATCGTTTTAAATATGTATAATTATGGGAAACGTAATTTATCGGCAACCTAATTATACACCTATTCTAAGTTATAAAGAAGAAGAAGAAGAAGAATGAGTAAGTTTATTGATTTAAAAGATATCTCCAATAAGAGAGAGAGAGAGAAATGGTTTGGGTTAACATCACTAATAAAATAAAATAAAAATGAATTACTTATAAATTAGTCTTTTTCTTCGCGAAACAAATTAATTAGTATTTTTTCATTTTACAAATTGATTATTTAGTCTCTTATGTTCTTTCAATAAATGAGTTCTTTCATCATTTTTTCTTTAGAATAGCGTTTTTTTTTCAAATTTTTTTTTTAATGTTTTATGTGTCTTCTTTACTCTTTTTTTTTTCTTTTTTTTCAATAAAAATTAAAAAAAAAGAGTCATTTGAAAACAAAAATCAATAATCTAACGAAAATAATAATAAAAGACTAAGTTATTGATGGAATTATAATATAAAAAAATTAAGTAGTTAGTTTTTAAAAGAAAAGGGAGTGGGGACTAATTAATTTATTTCTTTGGGCTGATTTGACTGGTGTTGGTTTTTAGAGGAGTTAGCTCTTGCTTTCTTTCTCTTATATTGGAAAAAAAAAAGTATTTTGACCTCCTTTTAAGTCAATTATAAATTAGTTATTCTAGTTTTGCAAAAAAATTTAAGTACTCCCTTTTGTTTTAAAACACCAATTAATTAATCATTTGACCAATATTGTTCATGATTAATTTAATATTATATGATTCTCAAACATGGTTTTTTTTTTAATAAATCTTTTCATATTTTTTTATTTTTCTATTTATTAAAATTAAATTAAAAATAAAAAAAAAGATTAAGTTACAAATAGATTTGAAAATATATAGACTAATTAATGAAACTAAAGAGCCTATGTAATACCTTCCGAAAAATTAAAGGAACTAATTTATAATTTACTCCCTTTACATGTATTTCTTCTAACTTCAAAGCACCGATCTATTTTCATTGCTTGTAAGGTTGCCAAACATAAATGTCCAACGTGTAGGTCCATACAAAAATGACTGAGAGAGTCTAAGATCATTAGTACGTTTGGAAACAAACTTTAGGGTTTTTCCCGGGATAGATCATTGTGATTACTTGGTTGCTTCTAAGTTCTTGAAAGAAAAAATTCTCATTCGTTGAAGTAAGAATCATCACTACCAATCTATCATCCTCAACCAAGTCTCCCTCAATCGTACACCTAGGTACGATTCTTTGATTTCCTTCATTTGATTTGTAGCTTTAATTGCATTGATTTAGCTACCAATCATTTCAAAATGAATGATGACAATGATTTCGTCA